CTAGTCAGGCAGCAATCAGTCAGTTAAATCGAGTAACAATGACTCAAATTAAGTTGCACCAGGGAACAATGAACTTATTACATCAAACCAGGGAACAACAAAGGAATTAAATCTGCTGGAAGCCTCCCTGGGTCCATCCAGAGCCTGGACTAGGTGCCACCAGAGCATCACAGCTGCCTGCTCCAGGAGGAACATCACAACAGCAGCGGTGCATTGCTGCTGGCAGCCCTTCTTGTCCCACTTTGCCCAAAGCGAAGAAGGACAAGGCAGACTACAGCGGATCTGATGAAATATTTGTAATGAACCAAAGGGGTGGGGAGACGGAAACTGTCAGCTTCCAAACCAGCAATAGCGTTGGAGATTACTGGGCTGCCTAAGGATGGAGAAGGCTCTACCTTTCAAATCAGTTATGCTGGATATCCGGAACTGCCAGCTGAAGAAATTAACTGAGAGGCTTTGATGGGTCTCTGATGATGATTTAGTCTACCCTACCTAGCATACAGGAGAGGTACACTTTCCAGTGGTGGCCTGGAAGAGCATGGCTATGTACTAAACCAGCCGCCTATGTCCATTTTGAGGTAAAAAGTGTAAATTATATGGACTGGCATGAGTCAGGCTGGTCATGTCCTGGCAGTGTTAGAGACCCATTTTCATCACCTTTTGTTGGTCCCCCATATCTCTTGAGGTTGCGGTGGGTTTTTTGATTCTCTCCTGTTCCTCCTTCTATCTCCACAAGCAGGGAACATCACTGAGATCCCGGTATGTTTCTCTTGGGATATTTCATGAATATCAGTTAACTGAAAATAAAAAAAGGAAGATCTTATTGATGAGAACAAAAAGGTCAAAAAGATGAGGGAGACAGCCATCTGGCCCATTATTCAAGGAAAGTGCAATCCTAATTGTTCTGCAAGAGCATCTGTAAGGCCCTTGCATGTGGGAAAAAGTACTGGTTGTCACAGCAGTACAAATACTTAAGGAGCCATAGAGGTTAATAAACAGCGATACCACACAGGCGACCTTTATGAACTACACATTGTCATTAAAGTAATTATATTGAAAAGGAAGTGACTCTTTGGGTGGCTAGATGAGGTCCTGGGATTTGCCAAAGTGTGTAAATCGGGGCCAATACAATCCCTGTAGGAATGCTGGCCAGTAAATTAAACTGAAAATAAAAGCTGAAGAAGAGCAGCTTCCTGAGCACCGTACAACAAGGCTGGGGCTTGATCCAAGACTCGGTATATAGTATCAGTACCATATGCACACCTCTTATCCCCTAGTAAATGTGATACAGGAGAGTAAGCACTTTGAGACAGACCTGCACAATTTTCACATTGAGGGATTGGACTTAATTTTCTTTTATCCCCCTCTGAACTGCTAAAATAGTCAGAAGGCAACAAGAGTCTATTTAGAGATGTGAAGGTTTGGAAACTAACCAGAAACTTTCAGGAAGAAAAACCTCCCACTTCCAGTCTTTACCACAATGTTTGAGCAGTGGTCTGCCAAGGGGAAATGGAAAAGAAACTTCCTGGTGTTTTTTTCTCCTTTTTTATCCCTTCTGAATAATAAGAAGACTGAGAAGTTGGATTTGTTTTGTACAAATCTTCAGTCTAATGAAATACATGAAAATGAGGTTAAGATTTCAGTCAAAAGTTGTAGTCATCTCAGGCTCTGGTTTGATTAGAGCGGTCAAGAGGAAAACTTGACTTACGCCAGTATTTTAAAAAGGGTGCTCATGATTTACATGCTTGTACAGGACAGTCAGCCTTGCCTGTGATTATGACCTCATAGATGATGATACACACTACCAAAGAGACTCGCCTTATTCTAAAGTTAAGCTTTATACCTAAAGCTACTCTTGGTCCTCAATATCATGTTGTGACAACTGTGTCTATTTACTTTCCAAAAAATGTATATATGAAGATGTTTCTTTTGTACCTGCATTATCATGCGAGGCATCTAGTGACACAGAATTTCTGAACCCTGTAACTTTAATTTTCCTCTTCATTTGTATGTCAACAATAGATGGTTTCTATGTTTATCTATCCCTTTCTTCTCGGTTTTTACTTAAAAATTATGCCAACAAACAAAATATACATTATAGTGCACAGCTGCAGCTATTACAGGAGGAGGGGTTGTCATCATGCAAAAGTAATCAATTTACATGTATTTATTTCCCAGGTTTATCAAACAGTATTTCTTATATGCTGGCTAAATAATACACAAAATATTCCTCACGTTTTGTGTATCCCCCAAGGAATAAGTACAATTTAGCTCTGATTACTAAGTAGTCAATTACTAAATACATTTAATTTTTTGCCCACAATTAAAGAGAAAACCCTGGGATTAAAACTAGGACTCTTTTTCTATTCCTTAAATTTCCAGCACTGACACATCTCTCATTCTTTGTATCTAGTGTCCCTTGCATCATTACTTCTAATCAAAGAGCATGCTGATGTTACCAGGTCAGAGAAGTAGCATTCAACAGATGAGAGATGAAAAGAATTACCTGAGAGGCATTACAAGAGGAGAGGATTACCAGAGGAGAACCTGGCCCATTGCCTCCCACCATGGTTCCAGCTAAAGAATGGCTAGTTTGATATTGTCTCATCTGAAACACAGAACATCACTAAATACTTTGCTGCCAGAACTGGGTGTTTCTGCCTTGGGATAAACACCAGGTCTTGGCCTCCAACTCTAACACCCTCCCAAAGGCAGTGCAGTGAGACCTGATGCAAGGCAGCTTGGAGAGGTCCACGCTGTACCTCTGCCAGTGCCTCATCTCCTTTAGGTAATTTCACAGTGAGACCCATAGGGTCTCGTCTCCACTAGTGTTTCCAAAAACTCTTTTTGGCAGCAAACACAGCCTTGCAAAACAGCACAGAACACAAAGTCCTCTGCTGCAGCTAACTATATCCAATGTTTAAAGTATTTTGACCTTGGAAAGACAGAGGCGGGACAAATTTTCTTTCTCAAGTTCACTGAATCAAGCTGGAAGGTGACTGCAGAGGGAACAACACACAAGTTCCAGATGCCTCTTCTAAAGTTTTTCTTACATGAGGAGATGGGCTTCCCTTTTGCAAAGTGCAGACACATGGCTAGGTCTGGAGCCACCTCCCTTCTTCGTACACACTGTACACAAGAACCTTGAACGTCATCTGAACACACAACTCCCACAGAAGTCAGTGAACGCAGGAAGACTCAGGCCTCAGGTATTTATTGCTTGTCTAGCTCAGCGTAGCATCATACACCTTAGGCCTGGTCCTACAGTTGCTGCAGTGAACTGGCTCCAGCTGCAGCGAGTGCCGGGTCCCCCATGAATGGGGTACAACTATTGAATGGTCCGAGATAAGAGCTGACCTGACCAGGAGGTCAGACAAGAAGCCTCAGGAGATCCCTTCTGAGCTGAATTTTCCTGTGGTACTAGCGTGCAGGTTGCATGGATCTAAGTGCAAGGGGAAGGGGTGGTGGAGGAAAAATGAGCACCACAGAGACAGAGGCTAATATTTAAACCACAGCTGATGGCAATTTCTTATCCTTCAAGTCTAAGATTGAGTTGCTTGTGCTAGAAATTTCTACCTCTTTTTCCTTGAGATCAGTCAAGCCATTGACTTTTACAAAAGATTTTCCCTGGGATTATTTTTATCCTAGGAAGTGGAGATAAAAGAATTTAGCTGGAAATCGTTTATCACTTGATCCCTTGCACTGGTACTCTAAACAAGCACAAACATGCATTTTTCACCCAAAGCCTGAGCAAAGGTACTGCTGTTGCTGCAGGTGTGCTGTATGTTTTCTTTGGAAATTTAGTTTAGAGGATTAGAAACCATTTATCTAGTTTGATGTGCATGTGACCAAGATGGAGAATTCAATTCCGGGCAGAGATTTTTGAACCCAAAGTAAATGGTTTCCTCAGCAACTGTATTCCTTGGAAACACAAAACTTTCCAAAACAGGTCTTTGCACTGACAAGTATCTGCAGCTTGGTGAAAGCCTGCGAGCTTGCTGGGCACTGCCATAGCATTTCAATCACGCTTGAAAATAAACCTCAAAAAAGTGCCAGAAAGTACTGGCTCTTCCTTCTGTGTTGGGCCAGCAGTTCTTTAATGATTTCCAGGAGAAAAGGCCTGGGGGTTTTTTGTCTGTCCCAAAGCCCGTCTGAATACCTGGATTTGACAAGATGGAAATACGACCCTGTTATCTTAAATAGATATGCAAAATAGATATGAAAAAAAACCAACCCACACATCTTGATTTTCCTTCCCCTCATACTCTCCCCCTTAA